ATTTTATTCTAATAGACTTTATCCTAAAAATTTTTCATTTCAATATATATTATCAAGAAAGTATTTCAACACACTAAATTGGTGTACCTCCATACTTTATACAATTATTATGTTGATATAACAGTTTACTTACTAACCAATTACCTTGCACTTCTGGTTTCTTCACTGATTCATTTCGCGTTTCGAGATCGGAAAATTACTTAAAAGCGTTGCGTATAGGAACTTTTAGTAACAATTACATTCAATATGGACACTCACTTGTTTATACTGATGAGTTTCATTTTCCACCAATGCACAAATCTTCTGCTGATTAGGCCGTACTGCGATTGAGTGAGGAATACTGAGTTCGTATTTCCCCATTCGTCTTCGTATCCCATCTTTTCCTATGTGTAATGAATGAGGTTTGCTTTTTATGGCACTATTAATGATGTATTTAATTCATGGAAATTTTTATTATGTGGCCTTGAGTGGCTTTAAAAAATAAGATAAAACAATATATTGTAAAAAGTTGAACATTATTTTCTTTCGAGTCCTTTGTGACGTGTTTTGTTGCGTAACTCAAAGCAGACACGTCTTTTAAGGTAAGGAATTGGCTAGTCAAAGAGAACGAAACAAAGGGTTTCTGGGAAAATAATTTAATACGCGGGTTTCTTTATTTATTGAAAATTACATATTTTATTGCTTCAATTTCTTCCGATATTATTGAGAATTAATTTTTGGAAGTAATAGACATTTTTAACATGAATTCGCTATCATAATTACGGTAGTTCATGAACTAAAAAAAAAATCTTATTTTAGGCACTGAAAATCTTCATATTATATAATTTCGAATTAATTTATCTTAACTATCTTCTATCATATATCAGTTTGGCAGCCCATGACTCTATCTTCAAAGATAAATTCACATTCTTAACACCGGCAAGTTAATTTGAAGCTCTATTTTTAGGTATTAATAATTTTTAATCTTTGATGGTCTGAAAGCACTTGTTAGAGCCTCTCACAAGTTTAAGTATGCTGTAATCAATCTTTGTGGATAATGTTTTCTTCCAATTCGGTGTTTCATAAGTAATCTAATAAAGAAAAGGACACACACACACACACACACACACACACACACACACATATTCTTTGACGCTACAGTTCCTCAGTAAGTCTTCATCAGGTTGCTAAATCATGTGAAGCCCTTCGCCAGTTGAAGATTTTTTTTCTCTCCCCTTCTTCGCCTGTAAGGATATATGGGATTTTCCCGGGCCAGGGGATTAACGGCAGAGTTAAAAGGCTCCTCCGGCACCTTGACGCGAACTCGTGACTTGTTTTTATCTAGTAATCTTATTTATCAGGTTGCCAGGTTCGGCCACCCCCACCTCGCCAGTTGGAGATTTTTTTTGTTCTTCCCTACCTCGCCGTTTAGGCTAAACGGGATTTTCTCGGGCCGGAGGATGAGGGCGGGGAATTTAAAATTCCCTCCGGCACCGGGACGCAAACTCGTACTTAATTTTTTCTGTCAAACTTCATATATCTGGTTGCTCGGCAACTCGCGGTGCTGTGCACACGTTTTAGCCCGTTTGGCCACCCCGCCCCCATCGCCAGTTGGAGATGTTGGATAGGTTGGAGCATCTCTGGCAACAGTGTCCTTCCGTCAGAGCCGAGGTTTCCTCTTTCTCTCGTCCAGTAGAACCTCCCATTCATTAGTTTCCTGGATATTTTCTGTAATGTGGCCATCCTACTGGAGTTTTCCCAACCTAATAAATCTAATTACGTTAATCTATAATCGACATAAAGTTCGTCAATTTTTCTATTTAATTGAGTACTCCGCCTTCTGTCCTATCCGACCCTTCTCGGCCTAAATGTTTGTCAAAGGATCTTTCTTTAGAGTCTTTCTTATATTTCGAATATAAGAATCTCCTCCTCCGCATTTCAAGTGAGGGTCCAAGCCTATGATCCATAATAAGTGTCTTATACAAGAAGCAATTAGTACGGCAAGAGAGGTAAGAACTTCTCAGGTTCTTCCTGAGAACAAGAAAGCACCTGTTGACTTTGATGGAGCCTTGACTAGTTATTCGGAGATCCGACTCTATTACCGACCCCTTGTATCTAAATTGGTTCACGTTCTGGAAGTGAATTACCACGGGGTATCGATCCTCTGTTTGCTCCAGGCTTGAATCTCACATACATAGTATTCTCATGATTTCACACATCTCCACAGTTCAGCGTCCGCCAACTTGAGAAAAGCCCTTTTATAAATTAAAGGACCTCGCGACAATATCCAGGTATTTAGACGTCCCGGCCGAAGAAGGTATTATACGCAGGTATCCCCAAATCAGAAGAAAATAATAGAAATCCTTTCAATCTCTGAGCGTTACCTCGAATGCAAAAAAATAATAGAAAATTAATTGTTTCTGTGTCGGCTGGATTGCCTTAAAACACCAACTACTTTGTAAAATACATTAAGCCGACTGAATGAAATTGATGTGGTAAATGTCACTCTCGATAATTGCTTTTTCCGTACAAAAGGCCTTTCCCATTTACACATTACAAACTTTAATAATGGTTGACAAACTTCTGACAAATAGAGTTATCAAATTTGAGCTGCTATTTTCCATTATGTGCTATGTTTAATTTCACACGATTTGTCAGTAGTGCCTTAAACATTCACGAAAAATTAAATCAGAATAAACTAGTTGGCCCGTGTGAATAATTCGCATAGTATATTAGTCAGTGAACAAAGCACATTATTATATGGAGATAATTAAAGGAAGTGTATTATGAAGGGAAGGAATTAATTTCCATTAAAAATAATAGACCAAAACATCTTTAAAAATTAGAAATGGTTCAATTTCGATATTTGTTTGCTTTCAACATTTTGTAGGAAATTTGGAAACACTTCTGGTTAACGTTGGTTAAATTGTACAATTTTTGAACTATGCGTAAATAAATTTTCCATTACTTCATTTTAAAGTTTTCCTAACTTTTTTATCCTGACTTTTTTTGGGAATATATTTATTTTTCTCACTTAAAGGTGAAGACTATGAGGAGATTGCCCAATCATTGGATTTGTTGAATAATCAAAAAAGACATGGTGTTTCGACAAACAAAAAACATCTTTGAGAAATAATATATATAGTCTGGATGCTAAACTTGTTCTCAAAGAGACCAATTCACTATTTGTTTTTTTTCAAATAATCAAAAACTATACATTTATTGGAATACTCAAGTTGTTAATTATCATGATAATTGAATTTTCTAACAGAGTTTTCCTGAAAATATATAAACCTGCTATTAGAGTTAAATAAATAAGTGAATTAATTTAAGGCTCCTACACACAGAGTGCGACATATTTCTGCAATACGATATTCTTGTTAGCGGTGATATAGCAATATAGTTGTGTTACTATATATTGTATGAAATAATGATTTTTTATTATTCTTATAGTATTAGATAATAATTCTTTGTTATTCTATCCGCCGACAATATTTCCTGGGATCTTACCCATACCAAACAATCAACTCCTGGCAACCTTCCTTCATCTACAGTCTCCTATAGTTCAAACCCGTAGTCAACTCCCAGAAAACTAGATCCCATGTTTCCGACCTTTATACCCCTTCCCATAGAACTAAAACATTTGAACATTTAATGTCCGATTTACTGCTTTATGGAATTCCTTGCCATCTGATATCTGCCATGGCTCTTCCTTGCCCTCATTCAAACACCATCTTTACCAATTCCTTCTGACATTCCAAAATGTGCAATCATGAAATAAATTTTATGAATGGAATTTCGATTGATGGGAATGGTTGTTTAAATCGTTTGTTTTAATTTTAAGAATCAACTTGCAGTGTTTGTTTTTTATTTTTCCTGATTTCTGTTTTTCTTTCCATCTCAATTATTTTTTTGTTTTTTATTTTTAAAATTTGTTTACTATCTGTTGATATTGTCATATTGAAGATAGCTCATATATTGTTTAATTTTTATTAGTGTAGTTTTGGCCAGATATGGTTTTTGTTTTTTGTTCATAATCGTTATTTTAAGGAATTTTGTCCCAGAATAAAGTTTATTTTCTATCTATCTATCTATTGCATTACAGCACTAAATCCACAGCGATGCCGACAAAGGGAATCATATCACCGAAAAATATCGCCTTCTGTGTGAAGGAACCTTTACGCACCCTAGGACACTGTTATACTTCGTTTACCTTTTCAATATAATATAAGTTTGTTGTTTATTGTAATAAATAACAATATTTTGTTTTTTGAAAAACAAAACGTGGTAAACATTCCATGGCAGCTGTACCACCTAGGAATCTTACATTTTTTACCTTCAAAATAAAAATCGTGTGTCGATGCCTCCTTCGAAATCTTAAAAATGCGATTTGTCCTATTTTGATCCATCGAAGCACCAACGTTGGATTTTTGAAACCTTCTACGTTTGTCAACGACTTTTGTTAATGTGTTAGGAGGAATTTACGAATAGTTTTGGGATTCGTCACTTCTCCGTGTAGTTCGCTTTTGGTTGATTCCTCATTCATCAAGATCTATCGCTCCTGAGAACCGGAAAAGGGATTCATGCTACCGCAGTGTATATAATGTAGATAATTTGACAAAAACTTTAGTTGTTATTTCGACAAAGTTTATTAAACAACTTATATTAAGTTACTAAAACTAGTTTCGACGGCAGACAATTATTGTATGAAAATGGAAGGAAAACCGACGTGCTTAGTTAACTCTGGTAAATTGCAATATTTAAATTGATTCAGCTCCGCGCTCTGTTCCGCAATTACAGCTGAATTAATGAAACAAAACATTAATCTTCATAGAAAAACAAAACTTAGAGCTATCTAAAACTTGCTATCTGAAGCCTGAGATAATTCAACATTAAAAAAGTGAGTGCTATTTTCTTGAATAAGAGGTTACCCCAGAGCCCTTTTTTTTAAAATGAATCAGAATATTTTTTTTTTTAAATTTGTCTCTATATATTATTTATAATTGTTTTCTTTCACATAGTCCGCCTCGAAACAGGAAGAGAACCATTAAGAATGAAAGTAATAAAAAAGATGATAAATCTATCGACCAAGCTCGAGTTCATGCCAGAAGAGCGACTCCCAAAACTTTGTTTAATAGACTTAAAACAATGTATAAGGATAAGCCTGACATAGACTTCAATTGGGTGTCTCAATTTAGGGCAATAGCCGAGCTTAATGCCTTTGCAGAAGAGCTTTCTGTTCACCCCACAAACGGACTTCTTCGATACATAGACGACATCCTTGAAAAAGCACCAACTATTATTTCTCAGCCGACATACAAAGAACTTTAAACTCCACTAACTATCCTTTATACAGAATACTATGCAGTTACAATGCTCCCGATCCTGAAACGTATCTTACATTCAAAGTCCACATAAAGAAATTGAGATGTGTTAGTCAATTAAGAGTTGCAAACCCAGAACACATCAGAATCCATGCAAAAAACCGAACATTTTCGATTGATTCTCAAGAAACCTGTATATCATGCAGCCAATTTATCTACAATAGTCTACATCACATTCTCCTTCACTGCCCAGCATACAATGACTATAGACAAAAATTCCTTCAAAACTTCATCTCAGAATCTTCTGATAACCGCAACGTCGAATCCATACTGAATATCGATCGTATCGATAAATTAAATAAAGTTTACTATTATATGATAGGAGTACACAAAGTGATTACACAAAATTGTTGATCATACCCATGTTCTATTAAGCGTTTGTTTTTAGTTTATCTTAAGAGTAATATTTTGTTTATATTTATAAATATTTTTATTTTGTATTGTTTCTATCATAGTAACTGGTTCATATAACCAATATTATGCAGTAATCGTTTTATGTTTCTAATTTTATTGTTATTCATGTTTTGTGAAAACCATTCTAAACGTTAAATATTGTAAATTTTATTTATATTTAAATTATATGTATGTCCAATTACATTATATGTAATCCATATTATTGTACAATAGCCAAGCTAGGCTCTATTTGTATGGGAAACCCCCTTAAACAAATAAAATATCTATCTATCTATCTAATTGTTTTCTTTCGGTATCCCATTTCTTCGTCAATTGTTTTAAAATCCAATGGTTGAGACAGAGTTAGGAATGAAACGATACAAGGAGACCTGGGAGTGTTAGCTTTAAGGAAACAGTTGAAGGGAGGCAGTTGTGATGGTTGGATCCGTGATCCAAAGAAATTTTTTGAGGCCAGGCCAACCGGACGCCGTCCTTTAGGAAGACCTAGATTGTTATGGTTGGACCACATGTCCAGGATTGGTGAAAAGAAAAGGAAGTCTATTAATTCAATGAAAGCGCTGGATCGGGATCGAGCTGCTTGGCAGTCCTGGATTGGGACATCTGTCTATCCATGCTGATAGGCACTAAGGATGATGATAAAGAAGAAGAAGAAGAAGGTTGAGACATCATTTCGAAGGTTATGTTCTCTGTAACTTACGAAAAATTAGTACATATAAAAAAAAATATCCATGCACCATTCTCCACATCATTTCCCTCAATAATCAAGGTTGTTATCTCTTATAATACACTGAATTTATTTATTTATATTGTATTGTATATTGTTCAATACAAATTCGAGGTATCTTGCGGAAAATTTTCATATTTGTTATTTATGTTGTCATCTGTGAAAATTATTTTTCATATTTGTTCTCTGTATTTAAAAAATATATTTTTATATAATGGTAAGGTATATTTATTTTTTTGTTTGTTTTTATTGGAAACACTTCCTATTCATAATCTGTTGTTGTATTTTATAATTTTTAAAAATTACAAGGTTTTTTACACGGCTTTTTCATATGTATAAATATATAGATATATATATATTTTTTTCGGCTGGCGTTACAGACCTTGCACACAAAGATATATATATATATATATATATATATTTATGTAATGTATATATAACTTGTTTTTCTCAACGAAAAACGTCATCACATTGTTAAAATATCCTTTCTTCAATTTTCTGTTTAGATTAAATATTTTCCGTTTTGTTATGGTTAATTATATTAATTTAAAATTAATGAATTTTGTTTTATATTAACTAATTTATTTTTAGAAAAGCTTTAGGGGAAGAAAAATGTACTATACAAATAATTTGGAAATTAATCAACCTAATTTTCTTGATATATGTTAGTTTAATGATTTAAATTATCTAGCTACAACACGAAAAAAAAATTACTGACAATTAATGAAATAAATTACTGTATTTATTATTTGTTTCTTGTTAATTATTTTTTTTATTTTAATATCCACTATTTTAAAATATTACATATAATGAATGGATTGACATATAGGTTCAGTAAATCCTCCTATACCTGTCAGAAATGTCAGTTAGTATACAGACGTCTATCCCATCTACGGACCACAGACTATTGTGTACAGACAGCTATAGTGCCGCCATCTAATTCAATAGTCTTCGTAGTGTCATCATCTATACATCCAATCTATATACCATCTATATAATATTTCAACTATTTTAATGATTTAACAGCAAATTTTTGAGAATCGAATGAATATAAAAAAAATGTATTATTGTACTAAGAGTCCCTAAAAAATTAACAGCCTGTCTCAGACTAAATTTAATGTATTAATACAAAAGGGTACTTATTTTAATAATAATAATTATTTTTTATTAAAATAAAGATATATTGTTTACATCGCTAAGTTAATTTGATTATCGGGCAGAGGAATGGATGAATGGTTTTTGAAGTGAGGTTGTAAATGTCGACAAATAAAAGTATACATAATTCTACGCAAATATATAATCGCATATATCTATTTTTTTTCTATAATAAATGTATTTGCGCCTGTCAACTTATTGTTGACAATCAGCAAATGTGGTGACGATACATGAAATGATGACATGACAGGCATGGGGAAGGAAAGTACTCAGCAGTACCTCTTTCCTAACTTGTTCTAATTACTTTGGTTGTCTAAGGAAGGAGATCCCTCATCCAACGCCTTTTTAGTCTCCTCCTCATGATCTGAGGTATGTCAGCTGTGGCCATGTCTCTTATTTGTCTGTTATTATATCCAATAAATAAAACATGATCACGTTTGTGTTTGGATGTGATTGAGTCACATTTCTTTATTTATTTCTGTGCTGATGATGGCTGATTTTGGAAAACGTTGGCTAGTTACTTTGTTCTTAACCTATATTACAGAGACACGAGATTGTATGATTGGGTTTTTCCTAAAATAATAATAAAAACAATTAAAAGGAAAAATTTAGATATTGCGAAGAAAAATTAAAGATATTGCAGTTATTTAAAGTCAAAATTAAATGCGCACTTATTCCCCATTATCCTTCGAATAAGAAAAAGTAAAAAATATTCTTGTAGTAGAATAAATATAAAACGGTTTTGGAACATCTATTAATACGCCTTAAAACCTGAAAGTCGTTTAACCAACAAGACTGGACTGTTTTGCGGGCTAGAGTATTTATACAATGGAGAGTTCAGGATGTAGAACGTTATGTCCATTCAAATTTGTGTAAAATCGTTGATAAAGGGTCGTTATATGTTGGTCAACTGTTGAAAAGTGGAGGTCAGTATGTACAGTTTTGTTAATCATATTAAATAGTTAAAATATTAATACACCCGCTAGACAGTGTTATTGACTACATAGCTGGAATTCATCTTATTCTCCAGTATTTGCTTTTCGACAATTTTTTTCATGTCCGACAAGGATTACAAGTATCCTCAATTCGACTAGTGTTAGGTGGAGTACTTCAAGGATCCATACTAGCTTCGTTACTGTACATTATATATACGCAGGACATACCTAATAACTCCGAAACATTGACTGCTAGGCTCTAATGATACAGCGGTTTTATCAAAACACCATGTATGGATATGGATGCAATGCTTCCTCATACCTAAAATGTCATTTTCTAACAAATATGCTAATTGTCACTATTATGAGAGAAAATTTGAAGATGAAAAAAATATTAATATAATATAATGTTAAATTAAAATATATTAATTTACTGATTGATTACTTATTGTTTTTTTTTCAGAGTCAGGCGTGGCATGAAGAGCCTTGGAGTGCTCTTCAGCTGTGCCTGGGCCGCTGTGGCCATTCGGGTTGACTGGCCGGTGAAGAAGTCCTGCGAGACCCCGGGAGACATAGTCATCGGCGGCCTCATGATGGTGCACGAGAGAGAGGATACTGTCGTCTGCGGCCCTGTCATGCCGCAAGGAGGTCAGTGGGTTATTTATATAAAATTTTGTAATTTGTTTGTATTTGGTATTCCAAATATTAAACCATACCTATCAAATAAGAAATAACTACCAACAGAATTAATATAAGCTCTAATTAAAACTCTGGGTATTGCCTTCGTATCTTAATATACTTTTTATCATTTTTGTCCAATTTAGGTAAAACTATGCCTGATACTTTAAGCGTTTGTTATACGTGCATGGTGACCATTTAAACATTTGAAAATCTAGGTCTGTCTGTTTATAAAATAGGGCAATAAAATCTTTTCAAAATTTATTTCGTAGCAGTCTAGGTAGAATAGGGTATATGTGATTTTCTTTTTAAATGTAAATTCTATTTGTTCACTTCTTGGCCGTCCTCGTAAAATTTACATATTCATTCCTGCCGTCGGGCCAGTATTCAACTATAGTACCTCAGTCCTCCGTCTAAATGAATTCTTTTAGTGACACAATATTTGAGTCTGTACCTCCAGACATTTTCACATCAGTGTGCATGATAAGATAAATTTTTATTTAAACATATTATTTAAATGAATGTTTACAAATTATAAAGATTTTTTTACTATCTGCCAGAGTTCAGCTTTTCTGGCATTTTTTTATCTAACAATTAATGCTAATATAGTATTCCCACTTTATATTTATTTATAATTGTGGGTTGATGGTTGACTGTAGTGAACAATGAAGAGAAGGATGGATGGGGTGATCAGTCAAAATAAAAATGACAAAAATAAATAATAATATTTATTTTTACATTTGCCGACGTTTCGACCCGAAGTTCAGGCCTTCATCAAGCTAAGAAAAGGTCTTTTTTTCTCCATTCTTCTCTTCTTCATTCTATATTTAATTATCTATATTAATTATAAAGATAATATAAAACTTATAGTATTACTACAACATATGAAGGTTTAGTACTTGGTAAGACATCAATGTTTCATGTCTAACGATTATGAATGAAAAAATGAAATAAAAAAATATTTTGTTATTCTGGGACTGTTATCCCTTTAGAACTAATTATAAGTACAGATTGTATACCTGTGTGGTTACAATTAGATTATATATTTACAATAAGAGTCGACTAAAAATAAAAATACTGAAGAACAAGAAAATTGTACTAAAATAACCTAAATAAATTGAGGCAGTCTCTGGAGGTGCTTAGACATTTCTCTTAGATATATTTAGTAATCAGTCGGATTGAGAAAGAAATAGGTGTTTAAAAAGGAGAGGTTTGAAAGAGGAAACTGATTGTGCGTATCGAATATTAGTAGGGATGGAATTCCAGAGGGAGGCGGATGAATTACAAATGATTTGTCAAACACAGCAGTTCGGTGAGGAGGAGGATAGAGGTCGGAAGTTCGAGATCTAGTGGGACGGGATTGGATGGAGTATTTTAATTGTAAGCTGTGAAAAATATAGGAGGGTCGATAAGTTCTAATGATCTGGAACAGAAAGGTGGCTAGGAAGTACTGACGGCGATAGGATGGGTGGAGCCACCTCAACTCGGTTATGCTTATTATGTGGTCACTATCCATGTTTAATCTCCTGGTTTTTTAATTAGTCCCATTCATTTTTTTTCGCGAATATCCACTTAATAAATGCAACGTTTTCCCCTAGTCGATCCTCTGCTTAAAGAACTGAAAATATTGACTACACGAACGCTAATTCCTCTATGCTTTATAATGTGATTGCCTAAATTAACTTAATTTTTCTGCGAAAAATAATGAAAAAAAGTGCTTGAAAAATAATGAATAAGAGATTAGGTTTGATTCTTAAATGGAAGGAGGGGATTTAACTAATAATGTACTTATCTCTGAAGTAGCCTCTATTTAAGTTCTTAAGAACTTTCTATTAAGTTTACTCAGTATTTAAAGTTAATGTTTCTTTTGAATATTTCATTCCCTACTTTACTTTGGAAGAGATAGATTTGATATGTACTTTCCCTAAAATGAAAATTAAACCACTTTTGTGCATATAAATATTTATTTTCTTGGATCTCTGAGCTTTTAGAATATTTCATTTCATCATATTTCTCGAGAATAGTTCAGCTTCTCAGAAAAAAGAGTACTTTGAGAAATATTAATATTTATATTTTGGAGATTTTAAGTTTGTAAAATAAAGGATGAGAGAAACTAAATGAATTAACAATAATAAAATTTCACAATATTAATAAGACATTATAGATTATATTATTTAAATTAGGTTTAGTGTATTTATATATATTTTATTAGCTTATATAAAAGGATGTTTATAAAGTAGAGCTGAGAGATGATAAAGTAGAAGAGGGACTTGATTGCATCATGTTATGTATTCGTATACACCAGGGTACAATGGTCTTAGACTACATCCCCAGTCCCCACACCACACCACACTGCTAAATATGAATTTTTGTTTTTTTAAATATAAAAAAAATATGTTAAATATAAAAAGATAAAAGATTTCATATCATTTAAAAAAAAAAAAAATTATATTTATTTTTCTCCGGATTTCTCAGTTACTATATACAAGTGGATTTATCCGAAAAACATTATTATCGATAGTATTAAATGAGGTATAATTTATCATAATTACAGAATCCTAAATATGCTTCCGGTAAAGTATTCTAAGTATTTTTTTTTAAGTTATATTGGTTTTTTAGTTTCATTCAAAACTCTTAACTATGAATTTTTGTAGAAAAAAAAAAAAAACTTTAGTGGTTGATATAGTCCATGGTACAGACCCCTTTTTATCGAATTATTAACATCCGCCTGAAACTTCGTAAATAATTACATCTCATCGTACCTACAACTATTTTATTTATGAAAACTCTTGGAATTGGAGCGTTTTCATTCTGTAGAGGGGCAAAATTTGTCTATTTAATTAGGTACTAAAAACTCGTAAATAATCATTTGCTTTCTACTTGAACCATTAGATAATTTGATCACAAAATCAAGAAAAAAGGTGGCCTTCAAAAACATTGAACAGTTTAGCGTGACCTACACCTCCAAATTTTCCAAATAACGGGGTTATATATGACAAACGGTCCAATATTTTTGTAGGCCACCTATTTTATCGATTTTATGATCAAATTATCTTAAGATCAAAGTAGAAAGCAAATGGGTATTTACGAGTTTTAGTACCTAATTAAATAGACAATGGTTGTCCCCCTCCATAGTGGTGAACGCCCCAATTCCATGAGTTTTCGTAAATAAAATAGTTGAATGTTACGATGAGATGAAACTATTTACGAAGTTTCAGGCGGATGTTAATAATTTGATAAAAAGGGACATGTACCCTGGACTATGACGTTTTACTGAGATTAAAAAAAATTAATTCTAAAATTTTGGTTTACGTTTTCTGAAATATTTTTTTAAAAACTGTGCTTAACACAAAGCTGCGCAAAATATGCCGGTTATTTTCTGAATGAATATAAAAATGATACAAAATGAAAAAAAAAATTGTTTGCGGCGATTACCAGGTATTACATGGACTATATTAGCGGTATTTATGTATTCAAAGAATTTATCTTAGCCATTTTTATTTAGACTATAAATAAAGTAATACTGAAACTATTTGTCAACTGGTAGGACTGAAGGGCCTGCTCGCTCAAACCTCTTCTGCACTCTACTGTTAGAGTTTAAGCGAACTTTGAAATTTTACTAGGCCACTTTTTAGGTCACCATCTATCTATACAAAGGATGATATATTACATTTCTTATATTTTGAAAGTTATTTTCGTTCTCCTAGATCGGTGATCCCCGCACACCCATCGTGCGACACCGGGACTGGAACACGTAATATTCAGCTTGCCAGGTTGCCGGGCAAGGCGTGTTTTGCACACCCGTTAATCTGCTAGGTCACCCTCTCTCCCCCAATCAACAAGGGCGCAATATAGTTAGTATCCTACCAATATACTCAACCACCTAGTTTATCCTCGACCCAAGGTCTATAACCACGCTTTGAACTATCCCACTCTATCCCATTGAAACATCATAAAATGAAGTATCAATTTATTACCTGTAACCCATCAAAATGACTATCAGATCTTATAGTCGGTCAATCGTTCATTCATCAGTCATAATTTTTAATGCTGTATTAATAAATTGATCAATATTAAGTTCAATCTTTATGCTATTATACAAAACTATTTTAATTTAAAACACAGTCTTTATTCCAGGTTCTTTGTTAACGTTGACCATAACTTCAATTGACTTTGATAGATGAGATGTTCCATCTTGGTTTGTACTGATTTGGCTTATCAGGACTAATTAGTACATTGATTATTAATAGTTAATTAATATCTGATTGATTGTTTGCCTTTAATTAGATAACTCTGTTAAACATGTTGTGATAAAGTGAGCATATTTGGAATGCTTCGAAAGTTATAATGCTGTTTTTTTTGTAAATATAAAAAATAAGAAAATGGCAAGAGTAAATAAAATATTAGCTTAAAGATACCTACAAAATGTTTCAGGTTTAAGTGGCCAAATTGGAAATATTAATTAATGACCTAAAAATAAGAAAAAAAAATCATAAAAAGGTATGTCCGCATATGCTTTGTTTAGGAGATATTCACACCTAAAGATTTTCATTGTTATGAATTATTTACATATAAAACTTAAAGTAAATAAAACTATTTTATTAATTAAATGTAAACATTAACATTTATATCAAATGTTGTTCAAAGTGATTTCCTTGAGCATTAAGATAGGCCGGTATCTTTCTTCAACAGCAGCAGTGGCAGAACGGCGCTGGCTGGATATGTGTTATTGTTTCACAAGATTCAATTATTCTTCTTCGGAATTAAGGTCATTGGCCAGGCTTGCATAGACTTTTTGTTTAATGTCAATCCAAACGAAAATAGAAATTCAGGAATTTTTTTTCTTGTTTTGAGGTCTTTAGTTCATTTTTGCAGTTTGGTCACTTAACCATGAAACACCCTGTATATACCTCCTCACTTAGCATTTAAAACTTAAATTTAGATAGATTAACAAATAAATTTATTCTGGGACGATGTTTCTTTAGAATAACAAAATTGTACAAAAGAAATTCTGGCCAAAAGGCTTGATGCATCAAACAAACTTCACTCCCTCCTCCTCCCCCCCCCCAAAAAATAACCAAAATAACAACAATAAAAAAACAGAAAACATTAAGTAGACTAGCTATATACAAGACTAATAAAACTATGTA